TTACTCTTTGGCTAGTTTGGTTTGAGATCAGTTGGCATATATTTTGTTACACTTATTAGTTTTCTTCTGTATTTTTTGAGAGCTATTGAATGCTTGGGTTTTTCTGCATTTCTTATCTCTTAATATCTTTGAATAATTTATTCATTAATGTGAAATGTTGATATTATGTGGCTGAGGAGATCTTGGGGTTTTAACAATTCTAGCATGGAGTTAAACTATAATGTGTGGATTAAATTTATTGAACTACCCTTGGCTAGGTATGCTGATATTTTAAAAGCCTGTTCTTCCTGGTTTTAGAGATCCTGTTCTGCAAAAAGTGTAATCACACCACATAAATTGTCTTTAGATGATGTGAGAGAGAAACTGATTGCAAATGCAGGAGAAACTGTAGTGGAACCATATTGATCATTGATATGACTTGCAGTATTGCCATAATGAATTGCATAGGGGCAGAAAAGCAATACATCATCATACCACAATAGTCAATGCACAAGAGTGTTTAAGTTTGACATAAAATATGTTGGATGTTACAACAAAGAATACTGTACTGAATTTAGTCTGTCTAGTAAGAAATAAAAAAACTTTTGTTGGGAACAGTGTTGCATTTTTGTGCACATTTAAGCAGCCTAACTCTTCTAAATATGAACACTTAATTTACAATTGAATTAGCTTAAATATTAATATTTAAAGAATGATAGCACTGTAACTTGATTATATCTCTTAGAACAGGGGCAGGCAAACTACGGCTTGCAGGCCGGATTTGGCCCACTCGGCAATTTCATCCAGCCTGCGGATACCCACCAGTTAATTGTTCCCCACCCAGCTCTTCCACCCACAAGGGTGGGAACGAGGTGCCCACGTATACAACCCCCCCCCAACATACTCTACTGCACCTTGCTCCCACTTTTATGGCCAGAATGGCCCGGTCAAGTGGGTGCACAGCTTCTGGGCAGTGCTGTTGCTACCACTGCTGCAGCCACTGGGGGACCTGCTCAGTTTCTTCAGCAGCCAGCTCACTCTGAGCACCAGGTAGGGAAGCGGCAGGAGGAAGCTGCAGCTGGATGGGAGTGTAGAGCATGAGGCTGGGGCTGGCAGCAGTATGGAGCCTGAACCCAAGGGGGGTGGTAGGAGCCCAAAGCTCAGATGGGCAAGGGGAGTGGGGCACCCCCTGCCCATCCGACCTTTGTGCTCCCACTGCCCATGGCGCACAGGCCCTGCCAGCAGCAGGTGCTGCCACTGGTGGCACACAACTAGCCAGCACTGCACATGGGGGTGAGGAACCCAGCCAGGCTGGTCCAGCTCTATTGCACAGAGCTCTCTGCAGTGCACGTGTAGCTCCCACACTTGTGCACCACCAGGGGAAGCCCTGCACAATGGAGCTGGCTGCCTTTGCCACTCCCTGACATGCAAGTCCTGGGACTTTGTGGGGAAGCAGGAGCACCCCCTGACTCAGGAGGCACCAGTTGCCTATGCTTCACACTAACACAGCTAATTACCTCTCTCCTTTGTAGTCAGGACATGTCTGTTGGACTAAGATATTGTTACTCAGAAGTGCTTTGATTCTAAAAGAGTTTGTTGCTTTTATAAAAAATAAACCAAAACTTGCCTGCTGACTGGATGTTACCAATTACTGCTCTCAAGGACCAGTGGAGCAGTTGCTGAACCTAATCCTACTTAAACCATGTCAAGGCCCTACTGGAAAGTGCAAGAATCACTGGATTCCCTCCCAAGAGTGGCAGTGGCTTGATGCCTGACAAAGAACAAGAGGTGTGGAGTTTAAATGCTGCAGTTTCGCAGGATAAACCAACTTACTGCAGTTTAGGTCTAGTCATCCACAACTAAAGACATGCAAGAGTTCAGGAGCAGAGCTAGCCTCGTTCTCCCTGGGTGCATTTACACATACTATTAAGGGGACAAAAACTCCAGCACAGTTCGCACTGGAGTCAGCTGCTCTTGGGTAGTGTCTACACATGTGCCTGGGACTGCAGCACTTTGAGCTGGGGCAAAGTAGTTCTGGGCTGGCAGGAGTCCAGGGGGCTAGCTTTAGGCAGCAGTGTCGGGGCTGGCAGGGGCCCAAGTGTGCTAGAGTGCATGGGTTGGCGGGAGGCAGCCCCCCACACAAGCACCCTCATGCCCCAGCCAGCCTCTGTCAACACCTACATGTGCATTTTAGCACATGCAATTACTCTGACTTGGATAGTACTGGCACTGATGGAGTTAGTTAGTTTACTGCACCGTAATACCAGAGCATGTGTAGACTGTGATGCAGTCTGTATGGAGCTAATTAGTCAACTCTGCAGTAAAGCACACATGCGCTGCATGAGACTGCACTGACTATGCAGAGATGAATGGAGAATTCACAAACACTGCAAAAACTCACCCATGATGCTTATCAAATTCAGAGGACTGACAGGTAGTTTTATATAAAACAATTATTTTAATTACACTTTTGCACATTTTTCTGTTTTGTTTTTTAAGGCTTATGTTTTAGAACTTGGAAATAGCCTGAACAAAACATTTTGAGGAAAAAGTGTGTGTAATATGGAAGATGTTAAAGCTGTTTGTTGCAGTGCTCTGGGGAGCATGCCCAGGAAAAAAAGATAGAACACTCCTTATTCTTGGCCCAAACACTTTTATTATCTGAATCAAAAGGTAAAGCAATCCAGTATTTGCACTCTCAACAGCTTGCTGAATAGAATGCACTGACCTTCAGTAGATTTGTGTGGAAATCACTCAGATTCAGTAGCTGCCTGGTGTCAGAAAAGTCTTGCATGTGCATTATGCTCTGACATAGCAGAAAGCGTATACTACCATTAAATATGGCTGATGCACACATTAATTGTTCATCCCAAGCCACTGTGACGAGCAATGCAGGTAAACAGAACTTGGGAAGACTAGTGTTTCTTTTTGCAGAGGCCTAGTAGTTTGAAAGGAAAGGCCATAAGAGCACAGATCACTAGCCATCCATTTGTTCAGATGTATCTGCTAACATTTCTCTGCTCCAAGGCTGCATCTGCACCAAGATGTTTCTGCTGGTGCAGCTGCACCAGTAGTACTGAGTACAGACCAGGTGCTTGCAGCCCACCATCACTTAGAATATATATTATATATTACACTGTCCCTTTCTGTTCCAACCACCCTGGAGAGGTTAGAAAAAAATCCTTAAGTGTAAACAAAACCCATGAAACAATTTCATACACAATAAAACCTACACTACCCATCTCAGTCCCAGAAAGATCTCTGTTCTTCAGGCTACTGGGGTCAAGCCTCAACATTTCTATTGCCACTCTGCACAATATACAGAGTACTATGGCACTACCCCAGGACAGAGGAACCCCTTGTGAAACAGCAGCAAGTTAGTGTTTCTTGGCCCTATATTTCATAGGGCTCTTGCAGAATTAAGGTGAATATCTACCGGCTCCGCATAAGTATTAGCCACTAACTCCAACCATGATAAAAAAAAACCTCAGGTTTTATTCACTTTCCAAGAAAAACACTGTTTGCCCCAGTTAAGCCAAATTTTGCAAGGCTACATCAAGTTCATGTTCAGCCCACAGAAGCTTGCCTTCAGCTGCACCTCAGAAACCAGGGCTTTGCTTACACTTCAAGTAAAGTAACATGCCATTGCTGCAGGTCTGAGGGCAGTGCAAAGCTGCAGACATTTTGGAAGCCCCTCCTACACCTCATTCCAAGTAAAATGAATGATTTGAAGAGAGAAGGTAGTCACTTCACAGTTCTTTGGTACAGACATTGGCCACAACAATCTACCGGCACATTTCACACCACACGCACATGGCACATTTTCAGTTGAAAAATTGTTTGCAATTTCTTTTTGCTGTGTAAACAAAAGAGGAAATGCTTCCAAAGACCTGCTTGCCAGCTGCCTGCCCCGAGCTGCTGTTGCCATTTTAGAACACACACGATATGCAGAATTCATTTTTATCCTCTGAAAAAGTCCAATGGGAAAAACCACAGCTATCGCTTCCTTTCTCCCTTCTGTGTCCTTTTCTTTTCCTTCTCTTTCCGTTCCTGCTTAGCTAGCTTGTCCTTCTCTCGCTGGAGCCTGTCTTGCTCTTTCTTCTTCTGGCACTCATCTCGCAGAAGCTCTCTCTCCAGCTTCCTTGCGTTCATGACATCTTCCATGTTTGTGTTCCGAAACAAAGCTGGATGTAAGTTAAGGAGGACAAAGAATGCAGTCTGCCAGGGGCATGCTGATTTCTTATTTCCTAAAATGAGTGTTAGGTGTGTTAACTGTGGCAGTAACAACCTAAGACTATAGACACTGCCTAATGAAATGGATCAGCTGTGCTGTGTCCCAGCACAGCTGATGCACTTCACTGGGTGAAACATGTCACCTGTGGTCCCACATGGTTGGCTTTCTTCTGCTCCCAGAAGCCTGATCCTGTGGGACAACACTTGGGACACACTTCTGCAAGTGGAGACCCCCAGCTTTTCCTCCTTGCAGAGGCATGCCAGGGGATTTCAACTTGAGGCATACCTCTAAAAACAGGGAAAGCTGAACAGGGGCTCCCAAGGCTTCAGGGCCCTGATCCTGTGCAGCCCAGGAACCCCCCATGTCCCCTGAAGCAGACTCTGTACTACATCCCACTGCCATCTAGTCCCGCTCCTAGCAGAAAGGTACAGCCCCTTTTTTACTAGCCAGAGAAGCAGACATGAGCCCAGCTTAATCAGGTAAGAAGCTGGCACATTGTGCTAAAGGGAGCAGAGATAGACCAGACACAACACTGAGGGGTAAGGGCAGAGGAGGAAGCAACCCCAGCATGACCAGAGAAGTAGGAGTCTGTGCTTAATCTCCTTCCTAGGGCATCTCACAAATTATGCATATCCAGGCCCAACCCCACTAACCCCCTCAACCTCTCGTGGTCTGGTGCAGCCAGTGACAGGAGAAAAGCAAGTTAGGGTGGAGGGGGATGGGAGAAGACTAGGGACCAGGAAGGGCATTGTGGCTCCTTATGTGGCCAGCAGGGGTTTGTGACCCACAGCTCTCACAGCAGGCATGCCTCTCGAGGCAGCAGGAAAGGGACCCACCAGATGTCCTGGGACATGTGCCTATAGTGCCCTTCACAGAAAGGCTCAGGACCCTACCTTGAGAGCAGCCTGAACACAGGACAGCTTTTGCAGAGCTCTCCCTAGTGCAGTCCCAGGGGTGCACAAATTGCCTGCAAAATGCAGGAAAAAATCCCAACAAGTTTTAGATAAATTCTCCACAAATTTCAGGTTAAATTTATGGTTACAGCTGCCACTTGCCCCAGTAACTGAGCTGGCTCTCCAGCTGTGACACAGCTACCTGGAATTTGATAACATGGATTAGAGCTGTAATTCCATTTGTCTCTCCACACAGCCAGTCATATGAATCTCCTCTTTCCTTTCTGAGACCCTGGGGAAGACACAGGGTTGTTTAGAGTTGGCCCAAACCTATTCATAGAAAGCAGAGGATGCAACTGTACCTTCAACAGGAAGCACCAGGATAATGCAGGAGACGAATGAAAAATACTACACATGCAGTTTAAAAGCAGTAGCAAAAGCCAGTACAGGGAGGGGAAAATGGAATTTCTGGCAGAACTCAACTCTTGACAGATAAGCAAGCTAAGGTTTTAAAAGGATACATTTGTCTGACCCAATGGGCAATGCTGCTGCGATGGAGCCATTCTGTTCATCCTCTCCAGTGCAAGAGTTAAGGAAATGTGGAGGCTATTAACAAACCTTCGTTCCACTAGTCTCTCCTCCTGTGATCTCTAAATACATCCAATAGTTCTACCCGCACCCAGGGGAGAGGCCAGAAATTGATCAAGAGATTTGCTCAAGGTCACTCAGAGCAAGGAATGCATATCCAGAGTCCCAGTCCCCTTCACCTGCTCAGTTTCCCAGGCAAGAGCGTCCTTCTTTTAACTACCCAACATTGATGAAGAGCCTGTCCTCCAACAATGTAAAGACGACACTGCAAATCTGCCCCATGTAAACACTAATAAGACTGGTGTAAGAGATTTTCTTCCTGAAAGTTGTTGCATACTACACTTCAGCTATTACCAGTGCCTTGGTGGTAGGCTACTGTGACCAGCACATTCTGTTGCCTGGAACTGCTTCCAAGGACAGATCCCACAAGCTGTCTCTGCCTGTGGCCTAGTCTGCTTTGCTGATGGGTCCTGAAGTTTGAGGGGGGCAGTGCTAAAAGAAAGGCAACAGCTGGCACTCCACAGCCAGACTCCTTCTGGAGAGTGCTAGTTCACTACAGAGTAGGGACAGATCTCTGCCCACTGTCAGCAATGCAGCACTGGAAAGCTGGCTAGGTGCATTATAGAGATGGACTTATTTGTTTTTAAAGCACATCCCTTCAAAGTGCTAGGTACCAACTGCTGCCAAAGGCAAGATACCAGAGGTAATGGGCTGACAGTCTGGAAACAGGATGTTGGACTGAAAGAACCAGTGAGTGAAACAAGTCTGACAGTTTTCTAACAGCCTCCTATATCCAATAGTTTGGAGCCATCCCTGCCTTGACTTTGCTTTGTTTACAGGGAAAGCTTGGCAGTAACAGGGACTGTGCCTCAGGGTACAACTACTGCCAATCCAACTATAAACAAAAAAGAAGGTGAGTTGCACGGCCCCAGAGCATGAACTAAAATGCAAAAGGGCAAGAAAGCCTTGGGAGAGATGTAAGTTACTGCCCACAGAGCAACCCGAGAGGTTGGCCAGCACCTTCTAAGTAGAGTGCTTGCTACAGGAAAAGGATATTCTTCCTCATCTGTTACATTGGCATACTGAGCTAGGAGGGCAGCTTTCCTCTGTTTTTCTTCCTGGGAAACTTCCTTCGGCTTCACCACAATCTGGGCCTGCTTTTCAATCATACTGGCAATTGCCTGGATCTCATCTGGCAAGGAAAGAAATCAGGGCATTAATGAGAGCCTCAACAACAGCTAGGAGCTTGCAGTTCTCACCTATCTAGACAGATGTGATAGGCCTTTGTTCAAGCAACACTGGCTTGTATGTCCGCAAAATCTTTAAGGCAGCTTCACTGTAATTGCATGTATAGCAAAACTGATAAGCAGCCACCTCAGGGGATGAACATGCCAGTAGCACCTGATTAAGGGATTAAAAAGAAAGGAGTTTTACCAAACAAAACCTCCCTCATACTCTCCTTCCTTGGACCTCTGGCATTTACCTGGGGCAAAGGGTTCAGCCGTTACCAAAGCTGTAACAGAGCGAGGGGTGCAGAATACTAGGCATCTTGTTCAGAAGAACCAGGAGCAGTGCTGTTCCCCTCCCTCCCATATCAAACCTGTAGCCTGAAGGAGTCTATATTATTGCAGAGCTGTTACTTAGTGTCCAAGCCACTGGCTGCTGGAGGGGGTCAATTTGATCCTCACTACAGCAGTTTAACCTGCCATCTTTGACTTGTAAGAAGGCATTTCTGCTTTCTGTACGTGTGAAAGATCATATAGCATTTTTCCATGCAATAAGAGGCGAGGTCTCTGTCCCCATGCTGAAACAAGTATTTTCCTTATTCCATAACAGCACTGATTTTAGCCTCAGTGAAGGAACACAACTCATGGGACTACTAACATAGTGGAAGGCAATGCCAGGCTCTCTCACATAAGGTATGGGTCCATTCAGCATAAATAAAACCTATGGCAAAGATAAAGGGACTCCCATTTCTCTACCATATTTGCTTACATACCATATATCCCCAAATAATACATTCACCTTGTTTTGGGAAGGGGAAAACATAATTTTCCAGAATCCATAGGCTCAACATGGCAAAGTGTTGGCCCTAGGCAGGAGGGGCAGGGCCCACTCCTCAGCATCACTCAATATTTGGCTGCAGTTTTCAAAATACAGTTCTAGTACTCATTGGCCATAATAGGTTAAAACAATAGCCTTGAAGGGTGAACTTTTTCCCTTCTGTCCCAGAAGACAAGCACAACCTAGAGCAGCCATTACATGCTTAAATTCCTTTGCAGAAAATCAACTTTCCTATTTAAGATGCATCCCAATTTTGGAAGGCTGATTTAAAAAAAAAGAAAAAAGTGTGTGTGGTATGTGAGTAAATGCAGTAATAACTAGGTGCACTGACAGAGATTTTCTGGGCTGATACCGATGGCTGATTTTTAAGGAGCCATGTTGGCCAATACTGATCAGATTCTGATATGCAGCTGGACAGCTTGGAGACCAGTGTTGGGTTGGTAAGTCAGGAATGGGGGGTGCAGATCAAGACCCCCATAGTGAGGAAGGGAGTGGGGCTGGGACAGGCGCTGCTCAGCTGGGGCAGGGTGTGCAATGGAGCCACAAGTAGTTCATCTGCAAGGTGTGGGGGGCAGCCTGCATGCACCCTCAGGGAGGCATGGGGTGGGGAGGCAGTTCTGCACACAGGGTGGGGTAGGGGAGGTTGAGGCCAGCACTGCACTGGCCCCTGCAGTCTTACGTGGGGTCCTGGGAGCCTCCCGGGGCTGCAGCCATGGTGATTCTTCTGTGCAGATCCTGGCTGGCAGCAGTGCATGGCTCTGGGCAGGCTGGCTCTGCTTTTCAGCAGTGCTCACTGGCCTAGCATGTGTTGCTCTGTTTTTTTCACCCCCCATGGTTTTTTTTGACCCCTGGATATCCAGGGGTCAAACAAACCTGTGGAAAAAACCCC